TGTTGTATTAATCGGGGGCGTGCTCGTGCTCGTCAAACCATCACGGTATCGAGTCACGCCTTCATGCTTTCTCACACAACGAATCTCTCTGAATCCTCACCAAAAGCCTCTCACAACCAAGGAAAATATGTAGAAAGTTCCTGTTCATCCGCATCTCATCACTGCAATATTCGTACGTACGTACATAACATCTCAACCATCATACTATGCTACGAGTATATCGAATAGGGTGTTCGTGATAGTTGCTGCTTTGCTGTGTGTGTCGACAGAGTCACTTACAACAATTTGATTGGACAGTTTGAATTGCGGGACTGTCGGCGTTGCAGATCGCTGAGTAGCCACATATTATCAGAACAGCGAGGTAGGTTCTGTAGGAATGTTCCTCGTAGATGGTGCATTGCCGCGAGTGTGTGCTTTGTGGATAGTGCATCAGTCAGAGGATTCATGGTACGTTGTGAAGTACGTTAGCTCCTGTTGAGTCTTTGTGTTCCGATATTATTGTGTTCTGTTTTTGTGCGTTGGTCGAGCGACATGGGTGGTGCTGCGGTGCTGCGGTGCTGCGGTGCTGCGGTGCTAGCCCCACCCTCGCTCACTCCACCTTTTGACCTGTTCTCCCGAACCAAGGTCTCATCAATACAACATCTTTTCCCCAGAAGCCACGGGTTTACCAACACAACATGTAGGCTACTGCTGTATACAAGTACGAGACTAAAAACAAAGAGTCAATGCGCTGTAGATACTTGAACACACACGAAAAGGTCTTGCCCTCAGATCACGACACGTACTTGAAGACAGTGTTTTGCGTCATGTACGTAGAAAACCGAGTCTATCGTGGGCGCTATGCTAGAACAGAATTCGGAAGCATGCTACAAGGAGAAGACACAACACTGCAAACAAACTGACAAGAATTCTGGACCATTCGCCAATGGCTGCTGCTGCATTCCCGAAGTAAGGATTCTTCTGCTCCGGCTTAGAAGCAGTTGTCTTGTGCTACCGGGTAGGTGTAGTCGCCGTGGCCGTCGGTTCGGAGCATCCATACTCCCCCTCACGACGATTTCGGAGAAATGACGAGAAAAAGACGTGGAAAAGAAAGATCGACGGTGTCGCGCGGCGAGATGTAGTGATGCCGTGGTTGCTTGAAGGAATACCACCAACCCGTTGAAGTTCGAATATGTAGATCCCCCGAAGCGCGTGCGCATGGCAGAGCTGTTTGATGATGCAGCTGCTGTCGGCTAGGCGAACTCCTCCACTTGGCGGATGATGTCGTCCTGAAGCTTCCGTACTGGCTTCATAAACTTGTCACCTAGCATCGCCGAGGGTGAGACGTGGTCGAGGGAGATGCGATCCTCATTGACCCATGAGCGAAGTGCGTGATAGCGGACCGCGATTTCCCTGGAGCAGTTGCTGCCGTCCGTCTTCATCTTCACCCTGAAACGCCAGCGCGCCGATGATGCTGTAGCCGGCTGGAACAGAGGAGAACAGGATGAGGTCGGCAACTTCGTGGTCGTTGAGGCTGTCAAGCTCCTTGCGTATGGCCTTCTGCCATTGGGTTGCTTGAGGTGAGGCCATGGCTTGCTTGTGCGTGTTGGGCACGTCCACTGCTGCCGGCGGAAGAACGTTGTCGATTCCAACAACTCTACTACACTCGGTGTAGGAGTCGAGGGCGCCGTAGAAGGAGTTGATAGTTGCCGACTTGAGCTGCTGTAGAGCTCTAGCTTGCTGAGGTTTGCCCTGTCGGGCTGCGGGAGGTCCGTAGTGACCGATGAGCGCAGTCGTGAACTTATCTTTCCCGCGCGTGGATCTGGAGCGGAGGAGCGGCTGCGGCTGCTGATGGCGTCGCTTGAGCTGGTGTCCGTAGGCTCGGTGTCCGTTTGCTCCAAAAGCGAAGTACCCTTGTTGATGACGTCCTCGTCCGGCGGGTTAGGCTCGTCTTCGACGTCAGAAACAGACTCGTCCGAAGTGCTGTGTTATGGAAATGTTAGCACATAGCCATTATGAGTCAATGTTCAGTAGCACTGCACTTGTACGTCGTAGATCATCGTAGATCTGTTATGTGCCGGTTGGTATGTAACGTGCGTTGTATATGCGGAGGAATTACTTCTGTAGGATTCTATGTTGCCTTGACGAGTAGCTCACTCTCTCGTGTGGATCCTTCCTGACTGTCTGGCATCGTAGCCATCCTGGTCATCTCCAGTACCCAGCCATCTTCTGGACTCCTGCATACTCTGCGGTTTATCTGTGTGTGTTGGCCACATAAGCGCCAGTGTTTACAACATCTTGTCACCTTCTTCATCACACGGAAGCACTCACGTCTTCCAGGGCGTCCACTACACTAGTGTCACCAACTTGATTAGCGTCAAGGACACAGCCTCTCTGCCACCTTGCTGGGGTATTATACCACAATATCCATAATAGGTTATTGTAGCCTCGTGTGTGTGTGAGTGGAGGTCCGCGACGGCTGCGACTCTTTCCACTGTCGCAGAGGACTGCTGTGAGGCACGCACACCAGGATCTTCAGATTCTACTCTTTCCGCGGGGAGCTACTACTGCTGCTGGAGTCAGTTTTCTGCTGGAGGACACATTGAGTCAACCCGCTTGCTTATTGGGCCCGGACTGATCACCTGGACTCTCGGCTGCGCATTCGGTACGCAACTGTCTGTGTAAAGCATTCGGGGGCGCAATTTCTAGGCGCTGACTCCGGTCGGTGAATAGAGTTGTGCAGGTTGTTGGTTCTGCGTGCGGAGTGCCGTTATTTTTATACTCGGTTCCGCGCGTTTGCGACTGACTTCCGAATACCAAATCGCCTGCGTTTAGACTTTACACGAGGCGTAGTCTGTCCAAGACACCTTCCACATACCTTGTTGCCGGCTTGGTCGCGTGTGTAGGTTGAGGATACGACTGCTAGCTGGTAGCCGGCCGCTGCTACAGCTATACACGTGCTAGCTCACGTACAGTGTGCGCTGAAAGACGCGTGACACTACGCAGTGCACCTCGCTGTGTACCTGCAGGACCAGTTAAGTGGCCGGAGCTGACTACTCGCCACATCACCGCAGCCTCGTCAACTGCGGTTGGTCACAACTGTGCTCACGAGAGCGCAGTCGTCCGGGCGAACGCTTGCGAGCTTCCGGCGGACACGGGTCGCGAGCTCCGGTTCTGCGGCCTACTTTTCACTCTACCCCTGAGTAGACCTGCACCGCACACTTCCGGCGCGCCGGCCCTTCTCAGGTGATCCGGGCGTCTTGCGGGTGCAGGACTTTTCAAGACACCCATCGAGTGTTCCTGTCTCTAGGCTATGGCGGACTCGTTAAGCTCTAGTTCTGGGCTCCACCGCTTACTGGATTCGATAGGACAATGCTCTGGGTCTAATTTTCGCGTGTGGAAGGAGAGTTTTGAGCATGTCATTAACATCCATGCACCAGAGCTTCTTACGGTTTTGCGCGGATCGGCTCGGCCGGACCCTCTGGCGGCTACTCAGGCCGACGTTGCCGCCTGGGACAAGGCCAATAGCCGCCTCTACTCTCTCCTGTTCTTCGCGACTTCCAGCTCGGCGCGGCTCACCGTCCAGGCTCACCGAAATGCGGGCACCAGCACCGACGGCAACGGACAGTCAGCTTGGGCAGCTCTGAACGCGCGGTTTGATGCCTGCACCCAAGAAGCTCGGCGTGCGTGCCACCGGGATCTCTTCGGCCTCAAGCACGTTGCGGGTGGCGATCCCATCGACTTCTTCTCCAAGGCGTGCGAGCTGAGGCTCCGCCTTGAGACACTGGGGGAGACAGTATCCGACGACGTCTACCTGGATATCACGCTCTCGGGCCTGACGTCCGTCCCGGAGTTCCACTTCATCCGGGAGATGCACTACCGCAACGAGTTTACGTCGGTCGACGATCTGCAGGACACGGCCACCCGCTTCTTTGTGGACCAGCAGTCGCGCAAGGCGGCGGGACCCGCGGTCTCGGGCAGGGGAGCCGCGATGGCCGCATCCAGCAGCGACCAGTGTCACCGCTGCAAGGAGTTTGGGCACTTCCAGCGTGACTGTCCGAAGTCTGCGCCGCCGTCCCGCGCAAGGAAAGGCAAGAAGCCGAAGCCGCGCAAGAAGCGCGGAGGTGGCGGGGCTGGGCAGTCTAAGTGGTGCTCCTTCCACACGACGACGACGCACAGCGATGCTGAGTGCAAGGCTCAACACAAGAAGAAACAAGAGGAGCTTCAAGGATTGGCTGCGAACGTGGCCCTGCTTCAGGCAGCTGGCCCGGCCAATTTCGCCCACCTTGGGAACGCCCACTTGGCGCAGCCGTTTCAGGCGGCAGCGCCCCAGGCGACAGCGCCCCAGGCGTCTCAGGCCCCTTCGGAACCCACCACTTTCGGGTTCTCTTTCAACGCTCACGGCGCCTCTGCAGCCCCTGCCGCCTCGCAGGCGGCTTCCGCGTCTGCCTCGTCCGCATCTCCTGCGCGGGACCACCACCTGCCTTCTGGGTACTTCGGTGCCTTTATGGCCTCTTTTGCGGAGGAAACGTCCCCGGCTCTTCCTCGCTCCGATGGATCGTCTATCCTGATGTTGGTGGATAGCGGAGCGACGGACAACTATCTCGATCCTGCGCTTACGCCTGGCGTACGGGCTCACATGCGCGACATCGAAGACCTTCGGATTCCGCTTCCGATCATTACCGCCGGGCAGCACGTTCTTCACGGCGTTACGACGGGGGTGCTCTTCGGCACGGTCACTGACGACAGCGGCCAGGACAGGCGAGTTTCTTTTCGTGTCATGTTAGTTCCGGGACTGGGGAACAACCTCTTCTCCGTCACCGCTGCGCTGTCGAACGGCGTGGCATCCCTCTTTTATCCGGACAACCCCAGGCTGGAATCGGCGGACGCAGTCGTACCGATGAAAATCCAAGGAGTGGATAACACCGGGAAGATCACTTGCTCCATCACCATCAAGCTCGGCGCCGAGAATGGCGGTCGACAGACCCCCGGGGAGACTCCTGACGGACTTGCCTTGAGGGTGGAGACTGCTGATCTTTGGCACCGGCGCATGGGGCACATCAACAACAAGAGCTTGGATGTGTTGAGGCAGCAGGCGGCCAGCGGCATCGACTACCGTGGCGACGTGCAGGACTGCAGTGCGTGCCCTCTTGGTAAGAGTTCTCAACAGCCGCACCCCAAGCACGCCGTCTACGGCGTTTCAACCCCCTTTCAGCTCGTTTTCGTTGACACCCTTGGCCCTTTCACGCCTACTGCGTTGGGCGGTTTCAAATACGCCACCAAGTTTGTCGACCAACACACCAAGTGGAAGGAGGTCGTTCTCATGAAGGATAAGACTTGCTCAATTGACGCCCTCGAGTTGTTCAACAAGGGAACCGTCATCCCCCGTAGCGCACGCATCCATGTGCTACGTGCGGATAAGGGGACCGAGTTTACGAACGCGGCTTACCGACAGTACTGCCTGGACGTTGGCATTCAGCTGCAATTTGCGTCTCCAAACACCCCCCATCAGATCGGAGCGAATGAGCGTGCCGGCCGAACGATCATGAACATCGTGCGTTGCATGCTCGCTGATTCTACGCTGCCAAGCCTTCTTTGGGGAGAACTGATGCAGACGGCGGTCTACCTGAGCAACCGAACTCCTCATGCAGCCTTGCACAACGGAACGCCGAACAAGGCGCTCTTTGGCACGGACGCGCACCTTGGACACCTTCGGGTGGTCGGGGCACGGGCGTTTGTGCATGAAGAGACGCACACTAAGAAATTGGACAGCCGTGCATGGGAAGGACGGTTGGTGGGCTACAGCCTGGACAGCAAATCCTACCGTATCTATAACGCTCAGACGAGACGGGTGCGGGAGAGTCGCAACGTTATGTTCATCGAACCGACCCCCGCGCCGCCTTCGTTGGACGAGCGTGGGTTTGACGATGGGGAGTTCACTTACGCCGACCACGACGACATGATCCGAGATATGCGCAACTACACCACCAACCACTCGGTCGATGCGCTTCCTCCCACTCATGCCGTCGGGGATCCGTCTGTTCTCGAGCTTCTCGAGGACATCTCCNTGCCCTCTTGGTAAGAGTTCTCAACAGCCGCACCCCAAGCACGCCGTCTACGGCGTTTCAACCCCCTTTCAGCTCGTTTTCGTTGACACCCTTGGCCCTTTCACGCCTACTGCGTTGGGCGGTTTCAAATACGCCACCAAGTTTGTCGACCAACACACCAAGTGGAAGGAGGTCGTTCTCATGAAGGATAAGAGTTGCTCAATTGACGCCCTCGAGTTGTTCAACAAGGAACCGTCATCCCCCGTAGCGCACGCATCCATGTGCTACGTGCGGATAAGGGGACCGAGTTTACGAACGCGGCTTACCGACAGTACTGCCTGGACGTTGGCATTCAGCTGCAATTTGCGTCTCCAAACACCCCCCATCAGATCGGAGCGAATGAGCGTGCCGGCCGAACGATCATGAACATCGTGCGTTGCATGCTCGCTGATTCTACGCTGCCGAGCCTTCTTTGGGGAGAACTGATGCAGACGGCGGTCTACCTGAGCAACCGGACTCCTCATGCAGCCTTGCACAACGGAACGCCGTACAAGGCGCTCTTTGGCACGGACGCGCACCTTGGACACCTTCGGGTGGTCGGGGCACGGGCGTTTGTGCATGAAGAGACGCACACTAAGAAATTGGACAGCCGTGCATGGGAAGGACGGTTGGTGGGCTACAGCCTGGACAGCAAATCCTACCGTATCTATAACGCTCAGACGAGACGGGTGCGGGAGAGTCGCAACGTTATCTTCATCGAAACGACCCCCGCGCCGCCTTCGTTGGACGAGCGTGGGTTTGACGACGGGGAGTTCACTTACGCCGATCACGACGACATGATCCGAGATGTGCGCAACTATACCACCAACCACCCGGTCGATGCGCTTTCTCCCACTCATGCCGTCGGGGATCCGTCTGTTCTCGAGCTTATCGAGGATACTCCACCGTCCACAACCGTGACCTTGGGACCAACTCCGCAGACCCTGCTCCTGCCGCAGAGGATGCGCCTGCGGACGACAGCCTTGCCTCGCCTGGAGGAGTCAGCCCTCCTGAGCCGGGTGACGGTGCATCATCACCGGCCGCATCGTTGTCTGCTCCTGCTCCGGCCGGTTCAACATCCAGTCCTGCGACGCCGCCTGGAGCGTCGGGTACTGGTTCTGCTCCAGTTGGCGCTGCACCGCAAGGTGGTTCTGCGCGTGGACGTGGTTCATCTCGTGGTGGCGGTGACGCCCGCGGTGGCTCTTCGCGTGGTGCATCTACGTGTGGTGGGCGTGGCTCGGTGAGTGGACGTGATTCTCGTAGTGGACGCAGCTCCACGTCAGCTCCTCCTGACACCAGGGTTACCCGGGCAATATCGCGCGTGCCCAACAAGAAGACCCTCAGCGAACTTCGTCGACTCTCGTATGCGTTTCCCGCGATGGGGGAATTTCCTGACGTTGCGCACAGGGACGCCACGTTGGGCTTCACGGAATACGCATACACCGTAGGGGGAGTACAACCAGACGTTCCTAGAACCATTCAGGAAGCACGGGCTTCACCGGACGCAACGAAGTGGAACGCAGCCGCTGAACGCGAGATGAAAAGCCTCAGCGACCGCAAGGTCTACAAGCTCGTCCCGCGCTCGGCCGTCCCTCCGGAAAGGAAGCGCATCAAGTCCAAGTGGGTGTTCAAACGCAAGGCCGACGGGACTTTCAAGGGACGTGTCGTGGCCCAGGGTTGGAACCAAGTTCCCGGACTCGACTGCGGCAGCACCTACGCTCCAGTGTGCAGGATCCAGAGCGTGCGAATGGTGGCGTGCATCACAGTTGAGTTCAACCTCATCTTCGATCAGATGGATGTTTCTACCGCTTTCCTCTACGCGGACATCCAAGAAGAAGTGTTCGTGGAACAACCACCCGGTTTCGAGGTCAAGGACAAGGATGGAGGTGACATGGTAATGAAGCTGAATAAGAGTCTCTACGGACTTGCTCAAAGCCCAGGCAACTGGTTCAACACCATCGATCCCGTGCTCGTCGAGATTGGATTCGTCGCACTCAAGTCAGACCCGTGCGTGTATTTGTACGATCACAACGGGGCCAAGATCTACCTGACTCTCTACGTCGATGACCTTCTCCTGGCCGGCAACGACTCTGACGCCATTTCGATGGTGAAAGGGAAGTTGCAAAAGCGCTTCAAAATGACCGACCTGGGGGAAGCATCTCTTGTCCTCGGGATGGAAATTAGGAGGGATCGCGAGGCAAATACCTTGACCATTTCCCAGGAAGCGTACTGCAAATCAATCCTTGAACGGTTTGGGATGTCGGGCTCCAAGCCGACCAGTACACCTGGGTACGGCTCCGAAATCTCAAATATCCAACCAGACTACACACTTCTCGACGAGAAAGAGACCCGCAAGTACCAAGGGATCGTGGGATCACCCATGTACATTGCGCATNCCGACCAGTACACCTGGGTACGGCTCCGAAATCTCAAATATCCAACCAGAAGACACACTTCTCGACGAGAAAGAGACCCGCAAGTACCAAGGGATCGTGGGATCACTCATGTACATTGCGCAAGTGTTGAGATACGACATCATGTACGCGACAGGTCAGCTGGCTCGCCCGATGGCGAAACCCAGCAAGGTTCACATGGTGGCGGCAAAGCACACCCTTCGTTTCTTGGTTGGAACGATCGATTTCAGCATCACATACAAGAAAGGTGGTTTCAAGCTCGCGACTTTCTCGGACTCCAACTGGGCCAATAACCCTGACAACGGGAAGTCCACCGCGAGCTACCTGACGATGCTGGTGAACGCTCCCATGAGTNATGCTGGCGAACGCTCCCATGAGCTTCAGGTCAGGGCTGCAAGGTCTGACAGCAATGTCCACCATGGAAGCAGAGCTGGTCGCGTCGGCGCTGGCGATGAAGGAAGCAGTGTTTTGCTCCAACATGATGACGGAGCTTGGATTTGGGAAATAATTTGCACAACTGCCCGTGTATTGCGATAACACGGCTACTCTACATGCATTGGGGAACCGGTCCTTCAGCTCGAGGACCAAACACATCGCGTTGCGGTTCTTCTTTGTTCGAGAACTGGTGACGGAGGGAAAGATCTCCATCCATTACGTTCCGACGGAGGACAACCTCGCCGACATCGGTACCAAGCATTTCAACAAACACAGGTTCAAACACCTAGTGGACCTCATCAACAACCTTCGACGTCAACGAGTTCACCGCCGTCGAATATAAAGGAAAATGAATGATTTGTTTGTATGAATTTTCTGTTTCGGATGCAGTTTACATTTTCATTTTAGTTATGTAGGAAACAAGTACTAACACGTAATTGAAACACGGATGAAACGCATTTACTTGCTTAAAATTATCATCATTAGTTTGGTACAATTCAGAGCGACTTTCATTGAGGAGGAGTGTTATGGAAATGTTAGCACATAGCTATTATGAGTCAATGTTCAGTAGCACTGCACTTGTACGTCGTAGATCATCGTAGATCTGTTATGTGCCGGTTGGTATGTTACGTGCGTTGTATATGCGGAGGAATTACTTCTGTAGGATTCAATGTTGCCTTGACGAGTAGCTCACTCTCTCGTGTGGATCCTTCCTGACTGTCTGGCATCGTAGCCATCCTGGTCATCTCCAGTACCCAGCCATCTTCTGGACTCCTGCATACTCTGCGGTTTATCTGTGTGTGTTGGCCACATATGCGCCAGTGTTTACAACATCTTGTCACCTTCTTCATCACACGGAAGCACTCACGTCTTCCAGGGCGTCCACTACACTAGTGTCACCAACTTCATTAGCGTCAAGGACACAGCCTCTCGGCCACCTTGCTGGGGTATACCACAATATCCAAAATATATATGCTGACTGTAGGACTTACAGCCGGTGGTTCCTCGATGAACGTGACATTGCGAGAGATAGTGATGCGTCCCGTTTCCCTGTTGTAGATGCGGAAGGAAGGGCTGTCGTTGTTGTACCCGACGAGAGGTCCTTCCCACGCCTTGGGGTGGAGCTTGGTGGTGTGTCCCTCGATGTGAACAAATTCACGAGATCCAATGACGCGCAGGAAAGAAAGATCAGCTTGCTTGCAGAACATGCGGTAGTACGGCGTGTCCCCTAGCAGTGCTTTGTCCGGTAGGCAGTGGATCAGAAACACCGAAGTTGCGGCTATCTCCCCCCACAGGTGTTTCGGTAGGCGCGCTTCGTTCAAAATACAGCGCGCCAAGGTCATGATACTCCGTCCTTCGCGTTCGGAGATGCTGTTCTGCTGTGGCGTGTAGCCGCCGAGTGCAGGAGGCGAAATAGGGCCGATGAGGCCGGTGCTGACGGCTTGAAGAGGCTGCGTGATGCCGTCGCTGTTGGCGGAGGCCTTGGCTGACTTAACCGAAGCCAAAGCATTATGCTGAACAGCAGCCGTTGTAGAATTATCAGCAGTAGTTGTTGTTGTTGTTGTTGTTTCTCACATTAGCTCTAAAAAATAAAAAAAGATTGGGAGCCCGTGGTCTCAAAACCCGGCATACACGACCCCACGAAGAAACAGAAAAAAATAGGGTACAAAAACCACTCGGAAGAGAAACAAAATGANAAAAAAATAAAAAATCGAAGGACAACGTACACCAGTACCAGGTACTACAGCAGTGCAGTATGCACCAGCGCATTAGTGTAGGGTAGGCACCGCACCAAAGTAGTGGTGGGTGACGGAAGCTTGACGATCGTCACGTTGGCTCGTCCCCGCGGAAGATCCAAGCCAGAAATAGTGGTGAACGCATGTTGCGTAGCCACGCTATCGGCAGCGATGACCAGGTCGAAGCGGAAGAGCGTGTCGCAGTTGTCGTCCGGTTGAACAGGAACTTGGAATGATCCCATGTCCAGACAAGGCGACAGTAGTGGTCAAAACAGAACTCCCACCCCCCGTTCTAGACTTCAGTGGGCTGGCGCTGTTGGCAAAGCGCTGTAAAACACGCCACCCCAAATATAGCCCCNATAGCTGCATACTGAAACCCCAAGGGTTGAGTGAGGTTTGAGATTGCCAGACACATGGACGGGTTGAGTGGGGATAGCTGCATACTGAAACCCCACGGGTTGAGTGATGTTGGAGTGCCGGACACATAGACGCGTTGAGTGAGGATAGACACATACTGAACCTCACAGGTGATTTCTGATGGAGGTTGCCGGACACATAGACGTGGTGAGTGAGGAAAGACACATACTGAAACCTCACAGATGCATTGGTTTTTGAGTTTGCCAGACACATAGACGCGTTGAGTGGGGATAGCTGCATACTGAAACCTCACACATACATTGGTTGTTTAGTTTGCCAGACACATAGACGCGCTGAGTGCGGATAGCTACATACTGAAACCTCACGAGTTGAGTGATGTTGGATAGTGCCGGACACCTAGACGCTTTGAGTGAGAAAAGAAACATACTGAAACCTCGCAGGTGATTTGCATTGGAGATTGCCGGACACATAGGTGTGTTGAGTAGGGATAGCTACATACTGAAACCTCACACATACATTGGTTTTTGAGTTTGCCAGACACATAGACGCGCTGAGTGCGGATAGCTACATACTGAAACTGAGTGATGTTGGATAGTGCCGGACACATAGACGCTTTGAGTGAGAAAAGAAACATGCTGAAACCTCGAAGGTGATTTGCATTGGAGATTGCCGGACACATAGGTGTGTTGAGTGGGGATAGCTACATACAGATGGATTGGTTTTTGAGTTTGCCAGACACATAGACGCGCTGCGTGGGGATAGCTACATACTGAAACCCCACGAGTTGAGTGATGTTGGATAGTGCCAAACACATAGACGCTTTGAGTGAGGATGGCTGCATATTGAGACCTAACGGGTTGAGTGAAGATTGCGACTGCCGGACACATAGACGCATTGAGTGACGAAAGCTGCATACTGAAACCTCACAGGTCGATTTGTATTGGAGATTGCAGGACACAAAGACGCGTTGAGTAAGGATAGCTGTATACTGAAAATCGACAATAGCTATAGTGAGGGAGACAATTCGAGGATGCAGTACACATAGAACCGACCCCCAACCAGTACCGGAACCCCCCCTGAAAAATAGAGGCCATGCGCCCCCCCCCCTTTCTACCTCCCCCAGAGGATGAGGAGGGTACAGTCCAAAGTAAGCACAAGCTTACCTAAGGTTAATGCCTATTGGTACGGCATTAATAAAGAAAATACTCAAGTTCCCCATTGGGCGGTGGAAGACTTAGCGCTAAGACACCCCAAAAACTCTCCGGCGTGAGATCCAAAATGGATCGGACGGTGGGGGGGGGGGTGGTGTTCGTGGCTCGAAGTGGATCGATAAAACATAGAGCCATCAAAGCAAAGCTTATTACTCACGTCGAGCAAGCTGAACGACCGGACCAACCACGCAAAAACTGC